GCGAGAGTCGATCGAGGAAAGCTTCTCCTCCTCTAAAATCTGCATTCGCCTTATCAGCGACGGCAACGAGCTGAGCCCTAATCTTAATCCCGCCTCATCACTGGAGCACCTGAAGGCCTTTGTTTCATGTGTCCAAACCAGCTCGAGCGGGATTCTCTTGTCTTATATTTGATAGTGCCTACCCTTACTTTTCTTCAAATAGTGCCTTCCTGACTTTTCTGTCGATTCGCCGTACTTCTGACAGTGTTTTCCGTTGTTGAACTGAAGCAGCAGCAATAGGAGAAGATTTCGTTGGTATCTTTGTTGGTCTCGCCGGAATAGGTAGACTCGCCGCTGAAGTGAAGAAGCATTTTGTCCGTATCAGAGTTCGCCGTATGGGTTGGGTCGGGTATGGGTCAACAAATTTGCATTACACATAAATGGGTCATAAACGGGTTAATGGGTCAATTTGGGTAGGACCATTTATGACCTGACCCGACCCATCCATTTAACAGGTCTATTTATGACCCACATATTTGGGCCTATTATTTTTTAAACCCATTGTGGGTGATTTGGGAAATAAAGAGTGACTCATTAACGACCCATTTAAGGAAACATGGGTTCATAAATGGGTTTTGGACCCATTTAACAGGTCTAGCGATGGAACCTATACTTAGTAATTTTCCTCAATGATTGTAATTTCATTGTAAGTCCCTATAAATCACACGTTAGCAATTATACTTTCGTTGTAGTCATATACCCCAAAGTCTCGTAGAGTTGAATTAGCTCGCGACTTTCCCTAAATTATCATGAACAACCTAAGTTTAGTTTATTCTTTCCATATTGTAAGTAACTTACCTCAAGGATCAGAATATTTTTTACAGTTTGTAAATTTAAGGGCCCTATTACTGAGTAATTATCCTCATTGCAATTTCTGTAATTAATAGAAACATTAACAATCTTATAGTTAGTAATTTTCCTTAAATGTTTGTAAATTGCCATCTATTCTAAAATCATCCGACTTGAAAGTTATTATGTCTTGATCTAATTGCTCAGATTGAATGGAAATGGTCCTGTATTTTCCTATAGGGTACCATAGAACTTCCCTTGCACTCGGTTAGTTCCATGCCATTCACAAGTGTTCTATCTAATTTTCCTTTTTCAAATTCAGCAGTCACAAGTGTTCTAATTCATGCATAGACCAGACTCTAGCATAAGCCTAAAGCGTGAAAATACATAATCGAGGAGACAAATAGAGGCCTGAAAGATTTGAACTCAAGACCACCTACTCTCATACCATGTGATATTTTTTGAAATCATTGCCAACTGTTCTAAAAGCTTAAGTTATTAGATGTAAGCGTGGTTTAATATTTAAATGACTACCACGTTTTTTACAACTCTTTTACATTTAATTATGAAACAATTTTACGACATTTTTGTAAAGTACAATGGCCTGTCGAAATATTTAGGGAACACTAAGGGTACCAACAATAACCAAGACGAGGAAAAGTTTACCCGAGTATCTTGATCTCGAAATATCGACCCACGAAAGGATTAGCAAACCGTGCAAGATGAGTCGCCGGAGGCTGGAACTGAATGCAATCCTCGGGCGCCGTCATCAGTGCGCGTGCGTGTAGCCATTACCAAACAGTCAAGCCGGGGTTGCTATTGGAACGAGCCAAGGGAAAAACAAAACAGGTAGCTCTCTGTCCACTCACTCCCAACACGAATCCAATCGCCAGAGCACGACAATCTTTCGAGGAGGACTGGAGGACCAACCACCATCCTTATCCCAATCACTACCTTTTTCCCCAGGTGGACAAAAACAGAGAAAACGCAATTACACAAAACACTTGAGTGGGAGCATAACCATCATCTGATAATTTACATTTTTACTCTCTCTCTCTCTCCCTAGGAGGACCTGAAGAAGGAAGAGGAAGATGGTGCTCCTGCATTACATGGGCCGCATGGTCGAACTCTCGCTTTATGTATTCCGTCTGCTTATGAGTGTGGTGGTCATGGTTACGTGACACCGTCCCCAGCCGCTCCGGCGAAGATCACGGCGGGCTGGAATCAGGAAGCTATGTAAATCGTCATTGGGCTCCTGACCAATCGTTGGTGCACTCGAATGTGCTGATCCTTCTGGTACACGAATAAATGACCTTTGGCTATGAAGGAACCTTCAGTATATTGACATATGTTTGTGCTTTTTGTGGATAGCACTGTGAATTTCTCGTACTTTGGGTTTCATCGTGATCTTGTATCGAGATGCTACTTAGGGCGAATTTGTGCTGACGTTTTTACCTCTTTTTGTGTATTTTGTTTCGTTGTATATTTTCGGTTTTTGGCTAACTCGAGCAACATCTTCCGTTTCTCATCCTTGCTAAGATAGTGAATATGGAGTCAGAGGCAAGCCCTTCTTCTCATCCGTTGCGTGCAAGTTCGACCTTCAAATCGTCCTCAACAAAAAGAATGGTCTAAATCGTATTTCGAGTTTCTCGGATTCTACACAGGCATGCCGTTCGCCCATAAAAATAGGCAGTATTCAACTAAGATGGTAGGCTAACGATACAAGTATCGAATTCGTCAAATATAACTTGGAAGCCAACTAAATAATGAGATTATTTTCACGTTTCTCATGCACTACGCCACCGTGAAGATCAGTTCAATTTCTTATTGGAATCACATCGACATCGGCTGCTGCGTTTTCTTGGTCTTCTCTGAACCTTGCGTACATATCGCCTTTGTAGAATTTCCTTGTCCTCCTCACTAATACTAGCGAAATGAGGCAACCAAAAAGTGTGGCTGCAGTGATGATTATGAAGGCCGTCTGATAGCACTTTACCCCGGTGCAGCTCAAGGGATCTCCTGCTCTCCTCGTGAGCCCCGAGGCTCTCAACTGCCTCAGCGCCTCTTTATCATACAAATGCCCTGCCACCTTCACGTTGAAAATGTAAGACCCGATCGGGCTCGATATTGACCCGACGTTGTACAACGTAGAGTAATGCTTGAGCCCGTGTACCTCGGATATGATGGTGCACACCAATGGCAGCTGCGCCCCCAAGCAGAATCCCATGATCATTGTGGTGATGTACAGAGAGTTCCGGACCGCGCTGGCGAGTAATGTGTGGCCGATGCAAGTGAAGAGGAGTATGGCAGCGAGCATCAGAGGGCGGGGAAGCTTATACTTGGTCAAAAGGTACTCTGAGTAGAAACCAGCAAACACTCTACCGAGGAAATTCCAGATACTCATGAGCGAAATAAAGGTCGCGATGCTGCGAGGCGGATAACCTAAGGAACTACCGATTTGGCCAAGATTGTCTATCACGGCCAGGATTCCTCCCACCCCGCAGGTTGTTGAGACGATTAGTATTAACATGTCGACGTTGAAGATTGCTTGCAATATGGAATGGTTCTCTCCTCTCTTGGGTGGCCTTAAAATATCGCTTAGGCAAGGAAGTGGGTCCAATTTTCTTGGAGGAGGTGGCGTGGCTTCTGCAGGCGATGTTCTGCCAGGAGGTCGATTTACCAGTACCACTTCGGATGGCAGATCATTGGGTGAACATTTTATCTCGGCTTTCCAAACCTTGGTTTCTTCATTTACGATGAAACCAAGTGGCAGAATCAGCATCATAAGGACAACTAAGGCACTCCCGATGTATTCGGATCTAGTGAACTTAATTCTACTCTGTAGGATGATCACAATCATGAGAAATCCAGCAAGACCGAGCGCAATATACAGGAGACGATAGAATATCGTGACCTGCGTCACTCGATGAGAAGCTTTCCTGATGCGAATCACCCGGATGAAAATTAGGGACACCGCTGCGGGAAGCCACGCAATTAGCAAAATGACTTTCTCCGGGTCATCGCCATTGGAGGCATGGTAGATTTGTGTGATGATTGCGCCGCTTAAGCCAATGAACCCCTTCAGTAGGCCTATGACAATCCCTCTGTTTTCCGGGAAGGTCTTGACGCACGTGACCAAGGCCGCGGTGTTGGGAAAGGAGAGAGAGTTCGCACCAACGCACGTGTAAAGACACATTTGCCATATTGGCGGCGGTGACGGCGAGCCAAACCGTGAAGTAGCTGGAGAAGTTCATGAGCGCCCCGATCAAGAGAATGGCCCACAGGGGCGCGAGCTCGTAGATGAACCCGGACACCACGCCCAGATTCCCACCCAGGTCCTTGTAGAAGCCTAGCAAGTTGAGGGTTGTCTGGTCGTAGCCAAAGTGTGATTTGATGCCGTTGGAGTACAAGCCAAACATGTACGATGTTCCGTTGACGGACATGATGAGGAGTGTCGCGAATAGGATGAACCACGGGCCTGTAAGCACCTGCCAGAGAAAGCTCTTGGGATGTCCCCGATCAGCACCATCGCTAGGGTTGGCTGCAGACTCGGGTATTGTCATCCTCTGCATCTCCCGTCAGTTGTTCTAGTCAACAAGAACAAGGGAATTGTCCCGTCTCCTTGGTGGAGAATCCAGTTTCAATATACAATGATGTCTTGCTAATGTCACCCGAGGATGGTGGTATGTCACATGGAGTGTAATTCAGTAAGCAGGTCGAGACTTGGACTAAAGAAGTCGAAATTGGTGTCATTCCAGTTTTGATTGTGAATTATTTACCACCTAGCCGGCAATTGAATCCTGGCCGACAAATTAAACTATAGTTAGGCAAAAGGCTTCGGAGACATCCCTTTGTCTTCTCTTTGTTGTTGATGTTGAGTAATTGTCCGAAGCATCCCTCTTTCGTTGTACAGCTGTCAGATGATCTCTCTGGGACATAAGCTCGAACTCCATATAGGTACTGCCAAAACCTGAAGCCTGTGTCCACTGTCCACTGTCTCTGCAACTCATTAGAGGCCACATCTAACAACACATTACTTAAAATCCATCGAACAAAAACACATTTTTGGCGCATGCGCGTGGGGGGTGAAAGAAGAAAGAGACAAAACATGCTTTTAGGTCAACGGACTGAGAAGTGACAAGAAACTTTTCTTTACTGATTTGTAGGACTCTAACCCAGAAAAGGCGAGCCCTCCCAAAATAGGCGCATGCTGCTAATTGCAGTGAGCACACGGTATTCTTTAGTAAAAGGCGAAAGAATAGTTCGCTCGGTGCTCACTGCACAGCAGCGTGATCTTCAGGAATGGCAAGCCTGGTTTCATGTACTCGGTCTCTTCCCTGTGGTTGTTGTGGGTGTCTGATGTGGGACCCTTCTTGAGCTTAACTCATGCGACTGGACGGCACCAAGAAAAGCCTCTAGTGAGCCAGAAAGTACAGATTAAAGCTAATAACTAAATAAGTGAGACTGGTTCACTACGACTAGATTGGGCTATAATTCTTGCTTCAAAGAAAGGACAGGATAGACTCTTGTAACCTCTAATGGTTGCATGAAAAGGTCTGGTCAACCCATGTAATTCAAAGCTGTAATTAGCACTTTGACTTGATAAAAAAAGTTGGAGCTGTGTCAAGAACGACTCATAAGAACTCACATGGTACATTGAGACTATATCAAAAGCTTCATAACAGAGGTGAAGAGCTTAATCGATTGGCACCGGTCGATTGTTCTAGCGGAAGATACTTGGAATGCACTATGGCAAACCAATATGAAGAATTCACAAATGACCTTCGAACCTCACCACCAAACAGAAACATGAACGAACTCGCCACCGCGACTGCTGTTAATGAAGGCTGAAGGTTTGATGAAATTGTCATGGACCGGTAGTTCTTTGACCGTGGAATAGCCCGTGTGGTGCCTAGTGCATCGTTCACACTAGAGCAGCCCTTGTTCAATGGTTGTTTCAGAGAACAATACGGCAAATAGCTTCTTCGTATCGAATCGTACCACGCTCAACATAGCCCGGCTTCCAATCCATCAAGCATGACACAGAATATATTTAGGTACGACAATTGGTTTTAGCCTGTCATGGCCTCATCAGGAGAGCGGCATCAACTCCCAACCAGTTTGTGCATAGGAGGCCAACCCCGCCTTCAGAGTTCTTAAGGATATATTTGTTCCATCCTAGATTTCCTAGCACCAATTGTCCTAACACCACTTCCACGACCCAGTTGTATTTCATCTCTTTTGCATCCTCACTCTTCATCTGATAACCCCAAGCACCACTCACAAGGGTACAGGAGTATGAGAGAATCACAGTCCGTGACAAAATCGTAACTAGGTGATGATAATGAATCGTCCGCATTCAAGAACCCGACATAGAAAGTGTGGAATGTTTCTTGAACTTCCCTTCTGTCCTTGCAAATGAAGAATGCTGTGGGAATTGGGATAGATAGTAATACTTTTGAAAGAGAATGGGTAAATGTTCCAAATGGTCCCTAAACTTTGATAAATGTGTAATGTAGTGCCCGAACTGTAGTCCCTGAATTTTAGTTCAATGTGCAATGTTATCTCTGAACTTCTAATTTGTTTAATGTGGTCCCTAGACTTTTGGTGAATATTTGATTTTATCCATGGACTATATGAAAATGTTTAATGTTGTCCCTGAACTTGAATTAATAGAATGATACCATTGAATATTTTCATACCATCTAAGGACTAAATTAAACATCCATAAAAAGTTTAGAGATCATATTGAACAAATTAAAAGTTCAAGGACGACATTGCACATTAGGCTAAAGTTCAGAAATCACATTGAGCAAATTTAAAATTTATGAATCACATTACACATTAGGCCAAAATTTAACGACTATTTATGGGAGATGTTTATACCTGAGAATATATGGCTTGACAGGCTGCGAGTCCCGTGAAATGGAACGGTCCAATCGCTACAAGGACTACAAACATTTCAGGCCTTCGAGAAGCAGAATGAATACTTGACTAGAGTTGTTGGGTTCTGCCAGTGGAGGCAAGAACCCTCATAAAAATTGGAGTACGCTGCGTCGTGCAGCGAGCACACGGTATCCTTTAGTAAAAGGCGAAAGAATAGTTCGCTTTGTGCTCACAGCACAGCTGCTTGGGATGCCCCAGTGCCGAAAGAATCGTAATGTATTGACTTTTCTCATCTCCTGGTTCATCATTTGTCGATGTGGGACAGGTGATGAACTCGGGGCTTTCTACTGTACGAAACGAGGCTCTTGTCCGAGTGTTGTTATCAAAGTGACTTTGGGCCACAAAGTTGTTGGCCGGTCCATGAGGACCCACGGGCTAAGCAGACCAAGATTCTTGCTTGAAGTCAAAATGTGGAATAAAATAAAATCAGAAAAATCAAGTTTTCGACCGCTCTAATTAGTGAGCCTCTGCCAATAGTAAAGGAATTGGAGAGGTGGAGACGCTAGCATCACAAGTACGAGGTTCGATTGCCGAGCTCTGTAAAGGCCCGTTTGGCCACATGCCAAATAATGAAAATTTCTGTTATTTTGTTCCCAGAATCAGTTTGGGAACAGAAATCCGTTTGTTAAAATTTTTGTGCCCGGGCACAATTTTATAAAAAATTGGTCCTAGAATCAGTTTTGGAACAGAATCAAGAAGCAAAAAAAGTAGTTTCTTGATTCTGGAACAATTTTTCCGGAATTGATTCTTCTTGGTTTTCTTTTTTCTTTTTTATTTGTTCTTCATCTTCTTCCCGGCCCACTACCGGCCACCGCCGACCGTCCACCGGCGAGGGTGGCCCTCGCTGTCGCCACCCGGCCCACTACCGGCCACCGCCGACCGTCCACCGGCGAGAGTGGCCCTCGCCGTCGCCACCCCCGGCGACGGCGAGGTCGGCCTCGCCAGATTTGGGCGAGTTCGAGCCTTGCCCGGCCAAGGCGAGGCCGACCTCACCGTCGCGGGGGGTGGCAATGGCGAGGTCGACCTCACCTTGGCCGGACGAGGCTCGACCTTGCCGTGATTTGGCGAGGCCGACCTCGCCGTCACCGGGGGTGGCGACGGCAAGGTCGGCCTCACCAGATCTGGGCGAGGTCGAGCCTCACCTGGCCATGGCGAGACCGACCTCGTCGTCCTGACCGGCAAGGGCTGCGACGCCCTCATCGGCCCTGGCCTGTTGCCGGTCGTCGGCGCCGGCGACCGACCATGGCCAAGAAAAAAAAAAGAAAGAAATATTAAAAAATTCAAAATATTATTAAAATATTATTAATAAAAAGAAATTTTGTGTAGTTACCAAATACATTTCTATTCTAAGAATAGAAATTTTGGGCTGTTACCAAACGCCTTCAAATACTTAGAAATTGTTCCCGAGCACAGAATAAAAAAGAATCATTTCTGACCAGAATTTATTTCCGGGCACAGAATGATTGCCATGCGTAACCTAAGAGACAAAGCAAAAGTCAGAAAGTGAGAAAGGTTGGAGATAGGACAGACAAAAAAAAAATTAGTGAACCTCTTGAAAACTAAAGAAAACATTAAGATACCTCATATTTAAATCTTAAAAGGACGGAAACAAAAAATAATATTTCAACTCTTAAGAGTAACAAACGTTGAATCAACATTTCCACTGCTATAACTAATGAGCCTCTTGAAAGAAAGTGAAGCTAACTTATTTTTAAAATTTGTCAAAATATAAATGTTCATAAACAGAAGGAGGAAAGTAAAATCAACATATAAAATACTATCAAACTAAAACTAGGCCTACTTTTTGTACAAAGTTGAGTCAAATCATAATATAACCCGAAGGATTGGGAAAAATGCGTTATCTTGTTGAGGAAATTAACAAATGATTATTAAATATTAATTATAATAGGATTTGCAAGCCCATGTGTAGTGTGTGGACGGTACCAAATTAGACATATATATCATAAGGGTAAATGATCCAAATGGTTCGTTAACTTTGATCCAATACGTAATATGATCCCCGAACTTTAAATTTGTTCAGTATGATCCATAAACTTTGATCTAATATGCAATGTCATCCTTGAACTAGAGGTGAGCATGGTCTGAGTGGGAAGTTTCTACCATGGAACCAAGAAACGCCCACCAAGGACCGGTTCCGAAAAATTGAAACTAGGAACTACCCGTTAGTTCCATAGATTCGCTCGAGAACCGGACCGCTGGTCCGGTCCAGTTCCCGGGTGGGTCCATGGAACCAGTCCCACCAAGCTTCACGCAAATGAAGGTGATCGAGAGCGAGAGAGGGAGGCGATGAACGGCCAGAGGCGCGGCCGTGAGTTGATGGGAATTGAGAGTCTAGGCCATGAGCCAATGTGCGATGAGTTTAAGAGTCGAGATCATCATCATGAATGAGAGATAGAGAGACAACTCAGACAAAGTGAGAGAGAGAGAGAGAGAGAGAGAGAGAGAGAGAGAGAGAGAGAGAGAGAGAGAGAGAGAGAGAGACGAGCACTTAGTTTATGGGCGTTGAGCTTTAGATTAGGAATTTTAAGGATTTCATTTTTCTTAAAATGTTTTCTTTTTTTTTTTGTTGGAAATTTTTCTTATATATATTACGGGTTTGGTCCAGTTGGGTGGGTGAGCGGTTCCACGCCTAAAACCAAGAACCTAACCGGTACTTACCAGTTCTAGTAAATTGGAATCAGGAACCGAACCGATTCTCATGGGAACCACCGATTCCAGTCCGGTTCAGTTCCGGGCCGTCCGGGTGGTTTCCAGTTCCTTTGCACACCCATACCTTGAACTTTTAATTTTTTTGTTGCATGTTCAATTTAGTCCTTGGACTAGGGGTGAGTATGGTCCGGGTGAGCGGTTCCCACCTCGGAACCGGGAACCGCCCGCTAAGGACTGGTTCTGAAAAATTGGAACCAAGAACTGCCCGTTGGTTCCATTGATCCACCCGGGAACCAGACCATCGGTTCGGTCCAGTTCCCGGGCAGGTTCGCAGAACTAGTCCCACCAAGCTTCACGCAAATGGAGGTAATCGAGAGTAAGAGAGGGAGGCGATGAACGGCAGGAGGCGTGACCGTGAGTCGAGACCGTGAGTGAGAGAAGAGAGATACTCAAACAAGATGAGAATGAGACGAGACGAGTACTCAATTGATGGGTGTTGAGTTTCAATAATGGATTTTAGGGTTTTCATTTTTCTTAAATTTTTTTCTTTTTTTTGGTCGAAAATATTTCTTGCAAATTATATATATTACCGGTCCGGTCCGGGTGGGCGGGCGGGTGGTTCCATACATGGAACTGAAAATCGGACCGGTACCCACCGGTTCAAAAAATTA